AAAACACCTATGTCCAAAGTTGAACGGTTACGGAGATAATGGCCAGAGAAGTGTCAAACTTTGACCGGGGTTACACACTTGTTGATTACAAAATAGATATTAAAACTGGCAGGAATATGTGGATTCTGTAACGTTAATAATGTACGTAACATCAAACTAACTTGTGAGTGACATGAAGCCATAAAATTGAAGTACAAAAAACTCGCATGCCATCTCAAAGTTGTCGTTAAGAGTTCCAAGCACTGTACATGACACATGAATGGTAAGCGATGACGTAACGTGCTGACTGCGCGTTCTCATAAAGCCAACTCCATAAGCACGGATAGGATGAATCACAGCAGTCAAGGACAGATAGAGATAATTCCTCTCAGCTGATACGTATAATCCGTGGACCCGCTAGAAGACCACACTTTTCTCGGGCCATTATCTCCGTAACCGTTCAACTTGGAAATAGGTGTTTTGGGTTATATCGGCATACTTTAACATAAGGAACACCCTCCCGAAGTTTGGCACATTCCTCCTGGGACACCCTGTATACTGCTACTTTCACAACTTGGATCTCTTCTACCCTGAAGATGGAGGCAATAAGTTTGTCAGAAATGACATTAACCACTTCCAGACTTCATTGTATCATTACCCAGAAGACCATCACATGACACATCAGTCTACTAGTAGTTCACATCCTGGAAAGCTATTTCCACAAGATCTACTTTAATATTATCCTTTCACATATGTTTGTGTAGGTACTGGCAAGCTGTGTGGTACACAGTATTGTTGTACAGGCTGGCGTGAGCATGGCATACTTGGCTGTATTGTTGCCACAACTTGCAGATCCTGACAGTATTTCTACGGCCACAAAAGATCAGAGCTCATGGATTGGTACGTAAATTTTCCAAGCAACTTGATATTACTAAAAAACTTATGATGAACTAAATGTAGCAGGGCTGACTGGTTTTTGTTCGATGACTGTTCCCTGTTGGTGGTTTTATAAGAATACTGACTCACATTGTACATTTGAAAATACAGATATGCTTTACAATAATTGTAAGTCTACTAATTAATAGTAGGACCTGGGATAGTGTAGTCTGTATAGCAACTGGCTACGGGCTGGACTACCAAGAGGTTGGAGTTTGAGTCCCGGTATGGTCAAGAATTTTCACTTCTCCATATCATCCAGACCGGCACTGGGGCTCACCCCACCCTCCTATATAATGGGTACAAGGGGCCCTTTCCCAGGGATAAAGCGGCCGGGACGTGAAACTGACCACTCACTCCATCTAGTGCCGACGTCAAGAAAATGTGGATCTATACATCTACTCCACCATACATTTTTGTGGCGTAGTACTTAATGAGTTAAGCACAGGGACAGCTGTACCTTTTACCAATTAATAGTACAACGTTGCATCACATTATGTGGAGCAAGAGATGCATAAATAAATTTCACTGTCACATAGTGAATATTGTCTTTACAGTTTTAACACAATGAATGATACATTTTGACATAAATTTGCAATCATCAGAGATTTACATCTGGTATATGTATATACGAAGGGGAACCCAAAAATAACCGGAACCGACCTGTTGCACACGCATGCTTTGTAGTTACGAGTTGTGCTGCTAGGTGGTGTTAGCTGGGGGTCTCCCGCGACTGTTAGTGAGCTGGCGTCAGTCTGAGTTAAGTGGTTTGTCTGTGGTGCTCTGTTGTGTGCGTTCCTGTTTCAACCCTTTGGCGATTAGTGAGATGGCCGACCAGAAGGAACAAAGAGTGTGCGTGAAATTTTGCTTTCTGTTAGGGAAAACTGCAGCCGAGACTGTTGGGATGCTTCGGCAAGCCTTTAATGATGATGCTTTGGGGAAATCACAGGTCTACGAGTGGTTTTCCCATTTCAAATCTGGCAACATGTCAACAGAAGACATGCCACGCCCCCGGCGTCCTTCGACAGCAAGAAATGACGAAAACATTGTCAAAATCAAACGTGCAGTTGATGAAGATCGTCGAAAGACCATTGACCAACTTTCTGAGGAAACGAACATCTCATGGAGCATGGTCCAGCGAATTTTAACCGAAGGTTTGCACATGAGACGGGTGTCTGCAAAATTTGTTCCTCGCTTGCTCGGAGATGACCAAAGAGAAAACCGCGTGAATGTTTGCCGCGACTTGAAGAGTGAAGTGCAGATTTCCCTAACAGAAAGCAAAATTTCACGCACACTCTTTGTTCCTTCTGGTCGGCCATCTCACTAATCGCCAAAGGGTTGAAACAGGAACGCACACAACAGAGCACCACAGACAAACCACTTAACTCAGACTGACGCCAGCTCACTAACAGTCCCAGGAGACCCCCAGCTAACACCACCTAGCAGCACAACTCGTAACTACAAAGCATGCGTGCACAACAGGTAGGTACCGGTTATTTTTGGGTCCCCCCCCGTATACAGAGTGTCCCAGGAGGAATGTGCCAGACTTTGAGAGGGTGTTCCTTATGTTAAAGTATGTCGATATAACCCAAAACACCTATGTCCAAAGTTATTTCCATAACCATTCAAATTTGGACATAGCTGTTTTGGGTTATATCAGCATACTTTAACATAAAGAACACCCTGTCTGGCACATGACTCCTCAGACATTCTATATGTATGGATCCAATGGCATGTCAGTTACCTTATTAAACTTTAAAATTATTTCTATATGCAAGATTGCTCAGCAGTCCTGCATGATAGATGTTAAATGGTGGTTTCCTTTAGTCCTGCCATAAAAATGCCAGGACAGTACATGAAATGAATAAAATGTCAAAATCAGTACCCCTGTAAGAGAGAAATGTAACAAATATCCAAAATTTTGAGAATTATTGAGAAAGAAATAAGAGGGGATGGAATTATAGATGAAATTTGTAAAGAAGGAGATGCAGTTCAGAATTTGTTAACAGAGTTAGAAGAATGGATAGAATAAGGATACCAGATGAGGATTGTAATCAAAATTTAAAGGAAGGAAACCCATGGTACTACTCAGAGCAAGATGGTTCATCCAGATAAAGGAAGAGAGCAATATGAAAGGAAAGAACTGCCAAGAAATAAAAAGCGAAGGATTGTGGGCAGAAGGGAGGAATTGGGGACTTCTCATCCATCGATTCATATGGAATAGGAACAAGTACCTCAAATTATGCTGCAGCCACTTTCATTCATGTGCTTTCTAATTCTTTGTTCATTCATCCTGCCACTATATGACTGTATTTTTTCTTATTGGTAGTGGGGTGGGACTAAGTCCCTTGAACTGCGGCCACTTCTGGCCTATTGTACCAGCCCAAGATGATAGGTGAGGGTGATTGTGGAGCAATTGGTGGAATGAAGATTGGCAGGGGAAACCGAAGTACTCAAAGAAAACCTGCCCCAGTGCCACTTTGTCCACCACAAATCCCACTTGACCAGACCTGGGATTGAACCCAGGTTGCTGCGGTGGGAAGCCAGCAACTAACCGCTTAAACTATGGCGTGGCCCTTGACTGTGTATAGTCTGAGCTACTGACAGCTTTGGTAAAGAAAGAGAAATGAATAAATGACGTGAATGCCTGTTCCATCTTCACAGCAAGCTTGGTTATCATTGGTACCCTCATTGGTTCACTAGTGACAGGACCACTTATGGCTCAGCTGGGATGCAGAACAACATGTCAGTTGAGCTGTGTGCCATTGGTTGTGGCATGGGTGGTGGTGTGTCTGGCACAGAGTGTAGGAGTACTGTATGTTGGGCGACTTCTGGCAGGAGTGAGTGGGGGTAAGTGTCCCAGGCTACTGATTGTGACTCATAATAAGTAACTGTGAAATATGAAGCAGTGTATTCATTTGGTGTGCCCTACACATATGCAGTCACCTTTGCTAACTGAGCTGTGTATAATGTTTTCATATAAATAGGCCGTACCTCAGCAGGTTGATAGCTTTCCACCACAGAGCCATGTGTTCATTTCCAAGTTATTTTGTATGAGATTCATGATGATTGAGGTGGCACTGGAGTTGGTTTTTTTTTTCCGGAGTTTCTTTGATTTTCCTCTTGTAATCGGCATTCCACTATTGCTTCATGCTGCCCCAGAGGTTTGCAATAGCTCTGAACAGGCAGCACATTGTTATATCCAGAGTCTTATATTTGACACTTGATTTATGAGCCAGGATTTTGTTGGTTACAGAATAAGAAGTTAGTTAGTTAGTTAGTTGTTTTTTCTTTAATTTGTGGAGCGGACTGAGACTGAGTCCACTTGGTATGCTTTTGTACCAGCTCCAGATCATAGTTGAGTGTGGAGCAGTTAGTGGAATGTGAATTGGCAGGGGAAATGAAAGTAATTGTAGAAAACATGCTGCAGTGTCACTTTGTGCTCAACAGAACCCATTTATGTCCTGACGTGGGATCAAACCTGGATCACCATATTGGGAAGCCATCAGCTATCAACCAGAGCTTATGTCACTGCTTCATTTAGTTAGTTGGTTGTTTAGTTGGTTCATTCTCAAAAACGAAAACATGTAATGGGAGATAATAACATTTTCAGAGCTTAGAGTTTCGAGTCTCTTGTCTTTATAATCAGAGTTGTTGTGTTCAGTTATAACAAGTCTTAACTTGCATTTGTGAAGGGGATGTGGTGATTTTCAAGTAACATTCTGATTCATCTGTGAGTGTTGGGATGCAGTGAATTTAAATGGTGCAGCAAAGGGTGAAAGCAAGAATATTCTGAAGAATACTTTCTTCTGTGGGGAGATGCCATGTACAGTTAGTGCCTCGTAACTTCAGCCATGCAGAAAGGTAAACACTGTTGTGGAGCACACGAAGCTGTATGCTTACTGTGGTGACATTCAGAGCTACTCCCCGAGCGGAAAGCATTGCCTACAGAGGCCAGGAGTAGATACACAACGTACTATACACCTGATCACACTCCAAGATGCTACATTACAAACTGGTAACACCCACACTGACGTAAGCTGATAAGACTGCTCCCCCAGCTCCACGAGAGATGGTATGACCCCTCTACCATGGCTAGAGTTCCGAGGAACTAACAGTAGTATGGTACATGTTTTGGAGAAACCTGCTGCTTTCATCTTCAGGCTAGATGACAGGGTGAGGAGTTGGACTGATGCTCTGGGGAAGTGATAGAATTAGGGAGAACAGAGTAAAGAATATTGATCATTTAAAGATTGTTTTCTATGGTCAGAGTGAGTGGAAGAAATGATGGCTCTGAGTGAACCAGCAGGAAGTGGAGAGAATTTAGGAGAATATAATGAGAAAGCAGTGACCCTTGAATTCCTCTTCTCAAGGAGAGAGTGAAGGGATGAATAGTTTTGCTCACAGCCCCAGTCCCTTCCTCCCATTCTTTGTATCCGCAGTGTTTTTGTATACACTTGGCTTATTATTCTGCCCTAATGATGGTGGTAGCAGTTTTCTTCAAACAGCTGGTAACTGTCTGTCAGAATATATTGTGTAATATCTTAGAAAAGACACTAATCTTCATAGTTATTGTTATGGGAATCACAGATCTCACATTTATAATATATCTACAGGTTTATCCACTGTGGCTCTGGTCTATGTTTCTGAAGTATCGAATCCCAAAATTTGTCCCATGCTTCTGTGCCTCAACAGTGTATTTGTGTCATTTGGTATTCTACTCACATGCGTCCTGGCACAGTGGTTCTTTTGGAGGGGGATGGCTATCTGGTTTGGAGTCCTGGCTGCCATGAGTTTCCAGGCCCTGTGGTTCCTACCTGAGAGCCCACATTGGCTGGCCACTTACAGAGAGGAGGAGGGAGGATCTATTGAGGCAGCAGTCAGGTGAGTAGCAAGTGCTACGATTTCTAACAAGCAAAGGAAATAATGAAAACAGTAACTGAGGACATTCAGCTTATCATTAAGGCTAAACATAGAAGACACATATATGCATTATCAGCACAGCCTGTATGATTATCATAAATTATGTACAATAACTTGGCTATGGAACAGGATGGTTTGA